CCAACTATTTGCTAAAATAATTATGTGAATCCATTTGTTGCTCTAAGCTTAAGAAATTTTAATTTAAAATATAGAATTTGATAACTAGATATTCAATAATTTTAGAGTTGCTTAATCTAGTATAATAAATATGTTTAGATGTAAAACATTTGCTATAAAAGAACTTTCTATAAATAAGAATTACAAAATAGAGGAATATAAATAAAGCAATTTAAGCAATTATTCCATAAATGTTAGTAAGTAAATCTGCATTAAGTTCGTAAAGAGAAAGCTTTCCAATACTAGCCAAATACTTTTACCCAATTAGAATATCAAAAACATCAATTATTTTGAAATTGATTAAAACAGGTTGTACTGTTAAAAAGTCTGATGATGAAAAATATATTTAAAGATTGTCAGGGAATTCAACATTTATAAACCTTAAATAAGATTAAAATTGAAGAGCATCAAAAATCTCAAAACTAGATGATAAATCCCCCAACAAAAACATCAGACCACTACTGCATACCAATCCAATCATTATAAAATTGCCTATAGTTTAAAAGCTATTTGCAACAGCTAATTAAGAATCACTTAAAGTTTTTGGTATTTTAAGGGAGATCTGTTTTTTATTCTCTAACAAAGGATAGTCATATTCATCAACTATGAGATCATTAATGAAAATTTCAAAAATAGGTTATGTTTTTACAGAATTAATAAATTTGATTTCGAATTCATAAATAGGATTATTCGAAAGATCTTTTTAAATTGCAACTACAGGAATTATTATTACATCAAATTCATTATCTTATAATCCTTAAATAGCAAAATTAATAGTATCAGAAAAATTTTATTTTGTGCCATTCCATCTTACTTATCTACTAAAAGATAATTATACATATTGCTTATCTTATGTTACATTAAGATATAATAGTTTAATAACTGGATATTTATAGCAAATGCTAGATTTTTTCTCATCACAATTCCAACCTTCTTCAATCAAACACTTTTCCGAGCATCCATCAAAATTATTTAAATTTCCGTCATCACACTGTTCTTCTGATTCCCTTATCTAATCTCCACATTTAGGTATTATAATCTACTACTGATCCTCTTCTTCATAGTTCCATTTTTATTATTTTTGAAAAACTTCACACCTCTATCCATCATTAATTATGTAAAAACCACTTTAACATTAAATACATTTACCCCCTTCCTCACATTTCTCCTTTTTGCAATTTTAATCGCATGATAACTAACAATTGAAACAACCATCATATGGTATTTAATTGCCATCCTCACACTCCTCCAAGCCTGGAACAACTTAGAGATCACCGCATATAGGTTGACATTTACCATTTTATACTTCAAAATAATTTAGACATCTAAAACAAATATCAACTGTTGCACATGAAAAACAGTTTTGATCGCATTCAAATTAACAATTATAACAGCCATCATTAGGTTAATAGTTACCATCATCACATTGTTCTGATGAAGTAATGGCCAATTAACCATCTCCACATTTTTCATAACATCTATCATCCAATAAAGCCCAACCATCCTGACAAGTATAACATTTGGACTCTATGCAACTTAAACATTCCAATTAACAACTCTTCTCACATTTATAACATCCATCAAATTGTATATTATTCTTATCATCGCAAATCTGATCAAGTATTGTAATTCCATCGCCGCATAATGGTATGCATTTTTATTCATTAAAACTTAATTAGAAAAATAAGTCACAACTAATACATTTATTAAGAAGTTGTTTTTAGCAATTTAAAATTTTTGAATGTTTATGAAATTATTTTTATTCTAACAACTCATACTCATGTTAGTCGCATTTTTGATAGAAGATTGCGAGTTTACTATAATTTAATGAAGATATTAAACTATCGTAATAACCAAACTCAAGGAAATTTATAATATATTAATTGAAATTTTTCTCTTGGAAAGTTTGCTTATATTAGGTTAATCCATTAAAATCAAAGATATTGTTTATTTCAATCAATATTTCTGTTTAAAAATATTCTAAACATATTCCAAATTAACAAAAGAAGCAATTTTAAGGACAAGAAAATTAACAGTGATGACAACCATCATATGGAACATTATTACCATCATCACAAACTTCATTTAACACTAATTTTTAATCACCACAAATTGGAATGCAGCTATTTAACGTCTCAAAAATCCAACCATCTGAGCATTCCAAACATTATCCTTTTATACAACTACTACAACCTATATTACAATCGTATTGATTAGAGAAACACCCATCAAATGGCTAAATGTTAGAGTCTTCACATAAATACTCCCTGCTTTAAATAAATAATTAAAAATCTCTAATACCAAACCAAGAACTAGAGCCATTTACTTGAGTTATCACTTAAATTCTAAGAATGTTATTATTATGTATAAAATCTTTTATTTATACTGTTATGATTATGAAAGAATTGCATAATATCGAATTAGAAGTTACATATGAGTTTTAATTATTATAATTTGCTGTAATTGAAATACTTATTTTTTTTATACTATCTGATTATCAATTTTGATTTCTATTAAAGTTGGTTTGAGATTGAATACTAAAACTTTCAAATTAAAACTAATCTTTTAATGATCATTCAAAACAAAATCTTTAATTAAATTATTTCCTGTTGATTTTAAATAATTGAAATCTATATACAAACATTATCAATACCTGTACATTAAAATATTCCTAAAGAAACTACGCCGTTAGTTGTCCACCCATCCTCTTAGGCTACTATAGAAAACTATTTTTTATGAAGCGATTGATAAATTAATTTCTAATTCTATTAAATGCAATTTTAACAAACAGATTTTAGTTAAAATTCTGAAATACCCCAATTTCCACTACTAGAAACCATTGTAATTTAAATCGAAGTGCTCTAGTGAGGAATATTTTCATATATGTTTAATACTCTATATGATCCTATTGATGAACATGAGTTTGTTCGACCAAATTGAGAAGTCTCAATAACACGAATAATTTAGTTATCAATATATATATAAAATGTGTACCCGTTATTATAAGAGTTTATTCTACTTAATTATTGTTAGAACTCAAATGATAAAATGATCAAATTATGTAATTGAAGTTCAAATGTTTTGGTTATCAAAGTATTATAATTGTAACCTGTACATTCATTCAAGATTACTAAGTTTTTTAATTCACAAGTTGTTAAAGTGATACCGTGACTATGTGTAGAGTATAAATTCCAATCTAATTCAATAGTAAAAACTTACCAAATGCCGTTGATGTGAAAAATCCATAAAAATTACTATAAATTAGTTGAGATCGACATATTGCTATTAAAAAAACATAAAGCATTGTAACAAGGATTCTTTTCATTGTTGATACAGGTGGTTTAGGCTTAAAAAAATAAAAAATATTCTGGCGAAACAAGAGAAAAAAAAACAGGAGGGAAGTGGACAAGTAAAGAGAGTATCACTCTCCTTATTCTCTTTGAAATCAGAAAGCCCATCAGCTCAGAGGTTTTATCACTAGAATTTTAAAACACTTTTTCTCGTTCATCCCAATCATTTTTATAACAGTGAAAGAAATTAAAAATAAAGCAACTTATTTTCATATGTTGTTTGAACTAGCTCTTTATTTTGTTCAGAAATATTAAAACGATTCTTTCCCCAAAAACAAATCTTGCAAAGATAATAAATTATAAAAATAATATCCAATTTTTCCTAATGATGAGAGGGACCTTGAAAATAAAGAAGAACCTCATGATTCAAAATGCATGAGAAAAGCCTAAGTGATACAAAAC